TGCGCAGCCTGCAGCGCGGCGGGCTCGGACTGAGTCCGGGGCGGGCAAGCCCGTGCCGACCACTGCAGTCTGCCCGGCGGGTCTGGGTCCGGGGCGGGTGAGGGGAGATTGCGCCCTGCGGAAGACGAGCGCACGGGGTGGGCTCGAGGACCCTCTGGGGTGTGCGTGGCGCGGGGCGGAGGGCGCTGAGAGGAGCTGGCTGGTGATGGGAAGTGCGGCTGACAGCATCACCAGGTCTGGTAAATAGCGCCGCTTGGTAGGACCCGAATCACTGGGGTCGGCCGGGCTCCACTTGTCTCTCCGGCGCGGAATAAAAACAGCTTTGCTGCAGAGAAGGGCTTTTTCCCCTTCGCTGGGGCCGTGGGCTGCAGCGGAGCCGCCACGCTTAGGAGGAGCTGAGATCTGGGGCAACAGCCTACTCCCCACCCCCAGAGTTCAGGCTCCGGGGTTTTCGGGTAGAGAGGGATACTCCGTGGTCCCTCAGCTAGATCCTGGGGGCAAAGGAGCTGGGCTGCGCTCAGGCCCGCGGGGGAGCCGACCGCACCGGGCAGGAGGGGGTTAAGGTGGCGCTCGCAGCCTCGGCCAGCTGGAGGGTCTGGTCCTCCGCGCAGAGCCGGGCGGGGAGCGTGCCAGGCGGAATCCCGGCCAGAGCCTGGGGCGATGCGGAGAGGGCCCAGACCCCTCCCCGCCCTGGGGCCGACAGGATTGGGTCGGCAGGGGGCCAGCCCGGAAGCCGTTTTCCTCCGGGCTCCCCCTCTCGCTGCTGCAAAGCCACCTCTCAGCCAGGCAGGCTGAGCGTTTGTTCTGCGCTCCCTGCCGAGGAGATGTGAGGGATTTTCTCTTGGGGAGAAATCAGTGGTCTAGCGCCTGCCCAGCTCAAATGCCACCCGGCTCAGAGGGAGGTCTGAGGCCCAGGGATCCTGGAGGGAAAGTAAGTTCAGCGACCCGGCCGCAGCTTTCATACAGAAGAGACCTTGCTAGGTGTGGGGCCTCCCTAAATGAGCTCTGAAGCGGGGGATGGGGAGAGCTGGCGGGGGACTAGGGAAGGGTTGGGGGAACCCAGCTGAGGTCAGAATTGGAGTCAGGCAGCTGTGAACGAAGCCCTCCCCTTGGGAGATGCTATGTCTTTCCATGGGGGGAGGGGAGTACTTTGCCCAGAGTCCCTCCTGATGGCAGCTGAGGACTAGGGATCTGGATCAGCCCAGAGAGGCCCCTGGAGAAGACAGGCCCAGCCAAGCCTGAAGAGAAAGTGCTTCAAGCTAATGGGAAGCCTGCCCAGAGGAGGCTGGGAGGCTGAGGGGTAGTTCTCAGGCATGGCACCAGAATGGAAGGTGGGCATGGGGGCCTGTCAACTCCAGTGAGAGAGGCTGCCAGAGCCCTCCTAAATCTTGGCACCAGCCACGCAGAAGCCCTGGTTCCACCTTGCTGCTGTTTTTTCCAGGCAACGTCACACCTCCTGAGGACAGCCAGGAGGACTCCTGCTTTTGCTGAGCTCTGCATCTTGCCTCTTCCTTCCAAAGGCTGCAGACCGAAGCTCGAAGCTCGGCTGTCCCGCATGCCCCTGGCCAGGCACCCCACTGCCCCTCCAGCCCAGCCTAGCCCTAGAGGTCAACTCCAGGACCTGGAGCCTGCCCTCCTGCCCAGAATGACTCACCATTATTTCTAGTTCGAGTGAGAAGATGTGATGGGGAGCTGGGCTGCCTGTGTGTGTATCTAAGATTTCCACAGCATCTGATCAGCTCTGCAAGGAAGAGAGCTTCAGGTTCCTGCCTAGCCAGGTAAATCAATCTGTTGTTTAAAACAGCCTTGTGTAGATTCATTGGGATGGGGGGCAATGAAGAAAACCCAGGCCTAACATCCCCCACCATGAATACCTCCCAGGATGCAAGTATCTGTGAGACATTAGTGTAGTACCTGAGACAGGGCTCCCTTCTAGCCTCCTAGTGTGGGGTTATGCTCCATGAAGCCTGGCGATGCAGACGATGCCTATACCAGCCACCTTCCCCCAGTGCAGGGAATTCCAGAGCTTCCTTGAGAGATTGTCACCTCCTTCCCCCTGATCCCCAGATAAGTTACAAGGTGAAAGTAAATTTTGATTTTTGGTGGTGATGGTGGTGGTGGTCATGTTTCCAAACTCTGGGCTGAGAGATGGGAGAGAAAAAGCAGCAACCCAGGTCAGGCTGCCAGTGCTGAGTGGTCTCATGTCCTCAACTGCCTCTGTCTTTCAGCCAAGCAGGGCTGTCTCTCCAGCTCTGAGAGGGCTCTTGGGCTCTCCTGCAGGAGCCCGGCCAATGCTGCTGTGTTTCCTGGGGCCATTAGCATCCTGAGCTCCTTGACACCAGGCAGCTGGAAGGCATAGCGTGAGGCACTTCTCTCAGTCCCAATATGACAGTGGCCACCGGAGACCCAGCGGACGAGGCTGCCGCCCTCCCTGGGCACCCACAGGACACCTATGACCCAGAGGCAGACCACGAGTGCTGTGAGAGGGTGGTGATCAACGTCTCGGGGCTGAGGTTTGAGACCCAGCTAAAGACTTTAGCCCAGTTTCCAGAGACCCTCTTAGGGGACCCAAAGAAGCGGATGAGGTACTTTGACCCGCTCCGAAATGAGTACTTTTTCGATCGGAACCGCCCTAGCTTTGATGCCATTTTGTACTACTACCAGTCTGGTGGCCGGCTGAGGCGACCTGTGAATGTGCCCTTAGATATATTCTCTGAAGAAATTCGGTTTTATGAGCTGGGAGAAGAAGCAATGGAGATGTTTCGGGAAGATGAAGGCTACATCAAGGAGGAAGAGCGTCCTCTGCCCGAAAATGAGTTTCAGAGACAGGTGTGGCTTCTCTTTGAATACCCGGAGAGCTCAGGGCCTGCGAGGATTATAGCGATTGTATCTGTCATGGTGATTCTGATTTCAATTGTCAGCTTCTGTCTGGAAACACTACCCATCTTCCGGGATGAGAATGAAGACATGCATGGGGGTGGGGTAACCTTCCACACCTATTCCAACAGCACCATCGGGTACCAGCAGGCCACTTCCTTCACCGACCCTTTCTTCATCGTAGAGACTCTCTGCATCATCTGGTTCTCCTTTGAATTCTTGGTGAGATTCTTTGCCTGTCCTAGCAAAGCCGGCTTCTTCACCAACATCATGAACATCATTGACATTGTGGCCATCATCCCCTACTTCATTACCCTGGGAACGGAGCTGGCTGAGAAGCCAGAGGATGCTCAGCAGGGCCAGCAGGCCATGTCGCTGGCCATCCTCCGTGTCATCCGGTTGGTAAGAGTCTTTAGGATTTTCAAGTTGTCTAGACACTCCAAAGGTCTCCAGATCCTAGGTCAGACCCTCAAAGCCAGCATGAGAGAACTGGGCCTCTTGATATTCTTCCTCTTCATTGGAGTCATCCTTTTCTCTAGTGCTGTCTATTTTGCAGAGGCCGATGAGCGAGATTCCCAGTTCCCCAGCATCCCAGATGCCTTCTGGTGGGCAGTCGTCTCCATGACAACTGTAGGCTATGGAGACATGGTTCCAACTACCATTGGGGGAAAGATAGTGGGTTCCCTATGTGCAATTGCAGGTGTGTTAACCATTGCCTTACCGGTCCCCGTCATAGTGTCCAATTTCAACTACTTCTACCACCGGGAGACAGAGGGAGAGGAGCAGGCCCAGTACTTGCAAGTGACAAGCTGTCCAAAGATCCCATCCTCCCCTGACCTAAAGAAAAGTAGAAGTGCCTCTACCATTAGTAAGTCTGATTACATGGAGATCCAGGAGGGGGTAAACAACAGTAACGAGGACTTTAGAGAGGAAAACTTGAAAACGGCCAACTGCACTTTGGCTAACACAAACTATGTGAATATTACAAAAATGCTAACTGATGTCTGATTGAAAACTATTAACATACTCATAGCTCAATGGAACTAATGCAGATGTTGCATAATAGCCTGCATTGTAGTCAGTGTGTTCTAAAGTGTGTATCGGGTTCTGCATGGAAAGCAATAGTCGTGCAAGTGACTTTTGATCTTTTGATTTTTGATTTAGAACACAGAATATCTATCATGGCTTTCATGCAAATTTTCATCACCAGGTTTCCAAAGATGGGAGTCACCTATGGAGCCAGGATTTCAGAAAGATACATTAAGGCCACCTCATATTCAATACACAATCTACCACATCAGTGCCACCTTTCCTTCCTAATTAAATGCACACAACACCTGGGAAATGCACTCCCCTCCCCGTCACCCCACCATCCCATTTGAGCCGACCTGCCCCTTCACAGAGAAACCCAATCATGGCTTAGCTTTCAAGCTCTGGTGATTATTCAAAAGGTCATTCCCATTTTTGCATTGAAAAGAACACACAGTCCTGTGTGTTGGAATTACTTTCTGTGTCACAGGCTGGAGTTTGTGAACCGCATTTGCCAAGTAGATGCTCCGGAGGCTTGTGTTTCATAATGCTGCATTCTGCTTTTTCTCTGCAGTGTCAGTGTGAGGGAAGCCTGGGGGAGGGACAGTTAGTATGACCGAATATGAGTTGTCAAGTTTCACATTTGTTCTTCTCTTAGGCCTACAAGGAGAAGCTAACAAACCAAGGGACCTCTCACCTTCAGATTTCACCATTTTTGCAGGCTTCAGGGTCACAAAAACATGTCTGATTCTTGGTTTACACTGGAGTTTGCAGATATCTGCTTTCCTAGTGATGTTGCCCAGCTACACTGACACTGCAGTGAGATTTACCAGTGATGCAATAGAGCTGCATGGGTGTTTGTTGCATGAATCTCAATATTTAAAACACAGGAGATAACCTATTTTCCTAGTAGCCTACACAGTATTCATATTTAGAGTATTAATAGCCTTGGAATGGCACTGAACTAGTGTTTTTTTTCCCCATCGGAGGGCAAAAGCCCTCCATTAGGAGAAAAAATATAGACTCTTTGGAATGGAACTAAAACTCTGGCCCTCCAGCCCACCCATCCCTGTTCTTCTAAATGGGAATGCAGACCTCTGCAAAGCCGGGAGAGTGAGCAGGGAAAGCAGCATCTAAACACCTCACCTGACTGTACCTTAGGAATTAACCTAATCATGGGCATGACTGTACAGCTGACCAGGGCATCCAGTCCTGAGGACAGGCAGGTCTGTGGATCCAGTGTATATAAAATATATTGAGTATCTCTCTTTCACGCATTCCTCCATCTAGCTAGCTATAGAAAAAATTGCATTTTACAATTGTATAAGCTTATGCAATATTTTTGACACAGGGCAATTTATGCATGTGTTTGACTATGTGCACTAGAGTATATATATATATATATATATATATATATACACATCCATATGTGTGTGTATATCTACATATACACACACACACGTATATATATATATATATATTCATTCTCTGGAGTTCAGGTTCAGGAGCAAATCCACTGTTTGGTGGGTTGGTTGTCTAAGAGGCCTAATGGATTAATTTGTCTCACTGGTAACCCCACCGGGCCTGGGTTTGCTGCCATTGCCTCAGACACTCCAGTCTTCATGGGTTCCTAGACGTTAGAATTGTCTCTCTGCCCTCCATGTGCTGCAGCTTCAGTTTCCCATGGCTGAAGCTTGTCTTAATGAGTGCACAAGAGCCCTACGGCCCTTACAGCTCCTGCTGTCCTGGGCCAGACGCACCCCGGGCCTCCTCTTCACAATCCATCCTGTTCATCATCTCCATTCTCATCTTTTCCCACCTCATTTGGTTTTCATTATCATTTGGCTCTACATCCATCACTTCTGTGAACCTTTCCCTAAAGAGCCACGATGGATCCCCTGCTTTGAAACTAAGGACACCAAGGAGGACTCCCTGGGACCAAATTCCACTGATCTGGACTTAAGGGAGCCTCCTCTATGGGGAAATTTCTGAAGTCCAGGACCAAGGGATGGAGAAACTAGATGATCCAAAGGCATCATTTTGACTGCCCGACTCAAACTCTTTCCCCATGAAACTGGCAACCAGAGCTGCATTATAAAAAGAAAAGGAGGATGGGTAAAGAATCATCCCCCACCCCCGGAGCAGGTAGGGAGTGAATAAGTACTGCATGGCCTGAAGGTAGAGAACAGGTTGGCCCTAGAATGGGTTGAGGTAAGGAGGCTTTTGCTTATCAGACTGGGCTTTTGACATCATGGCTTAAATTTCCCAAACAGTGAACTGTGGTGGTCGGGCTGTCCAAAGGTGACTCCAGCCCAGGCCTCACTGTTGCCTAGTTAGCACCTACAGTGTTCTTGGGGAGTGGGGCACCAGCTCAGGGTGCTAGGCCTAGGGTGCTCATTAGTTCCTGGTCGCCCACATCCCCAGTTGTCTGCAGGGTACCCCGTGCCCAGCACAAAGCCTCTGTGCTGTTCTTCCTCTCCTTCATGGGAGGTGGTGCTGAATTTCCAAGACATGGGGTGGGAGGGACCCAGACCTTTGGAAAATAGAAGGCGAAGCAACCCATACCTAAGGCCTCGGTGACGGGTTAGATATCTTATAGTGTCCTTGGTCTGAGGCTATAAAACATTCATGCACATGCATGCACATCCACCACAAAATAAATATAACTGTTGCCATACACAAATACAAAACATGCAACCCACATGCAAAGTACACACAGGCCAAATTAACATAAAGAGCAGATACAGAAGATATATGGTTATACCTATATACAAAATATGCATCCTCAGCACAGATATAGAATGTACTGACCAATACAGAAAATACATAAAAGACCTATATACACCATGCACAAATATACAGCCTGTAACTCAGATGCAAAATACACAAAACGGCCTGGACACAATGGATATGTATACAAAATACACAAAGGATACTTTATGATTGTTTCTGCACACAAAACACACACAGATTCAGTGTATACACAGAATGCATTTCCTTATATTACACATGCAATATACAGCACACACATCTAAGAACATACACATGATTCACATGAAACACAGACGTACACTCAAATCCATTGCTCTGACCCCAGGGCTATAAATTAATGGGCACAAACCCTTCCCTAGCCTGTGTCTATATCCCTCAGTATACTTCAGGAAGTCTCATCTAGTCTCTTCTCACCTCCAGATTTCAGTCCTAGGAAGTAACCCCTGAGGTTTAAAGCAGAAAGATAGCCCACCACATCAGGCAGATCTCTGATTAAGACCAGGAATCTCATGGGGTTTCTACCTCATCACTTTCCTCCCACCAGAAACCCAGGTACATGATGTGGGAGGATGTGGGACAGCTGACGGCCTAATATAGTCCTCCTTATCCTTTCCTTCAAAGCAAGTCCACACAGACAGACCAAAAGCCCAGGCTCCCCTACTCTCAGCACCTGGGATCTCCAGATTCAACCCCATTCTCCTAAAAGCAGTGATGGCTCAAGCAACTGCAGGACCCTGGCCCAGAGCCAGGGTGAAAATCCCCCCAGCATTCTCTAAGTCCACAGATCTTATGTCCCTCTATCCCTAGCAGCTCTGTTGCAGACTGGGTCAGAAAATGGAGACCCTGTGTAGACTTGTCTCTTAAAATGAGCCACCTTTACTTGCCGTGGTATTTCACTTGCCTTGGGCATAAGCCCAGTGGGGTCAACTCCTGATTCCCCTCTGTGGGTGTGTAATTTCAGACATGCTCTTCCCCTCTTACCAGGGCTCCCCCTGGATGCCCTGCTTCCCACCCCACTGCCATGCCTTGAGGAACCGGCAAACAAACTCAGCTTAAGTAAAAGATGATTAAGGACATAAACCTAAGGCTAAACAAGCAAACAACAGTCTTTTAGAGGGCCTGATTTTTATCCTATATTCTAAGGCCATATTTACACTTGGATCTGGTTCTCCCCACTAGCAGGACTAGCTGAGAGCTGAGTGGGCTTTGCCAAAGGCGTCACCTGAAATGGAAGTCAGAAGCTGTAGTTGGCCTCCTGGTCTCTGTGCCTGTGGCCGTCTCGGTATGTCTCATTCTTCCCTCCTGATGATGGGCCCAGATGTCAGTCTCCACTGAGGAAGCAACAATAGCAGGGAATGGACACCTGGGTCCAAACCTTGTGCATTTAGGGCAGCATGCTGGGACTTGTGTTTCCAAGTCAAGATACCAATTTTCCTTTTAGCTTCATCAGGGGCCTCCATAGGCTCAAACTTTCAAGAGGATGAAGCCCAGGAAAGGTGGAGAGGTTGTCAGGAAGAGTGTGCAACTGAGCTGGTTAAATTTCATAATAAACATTTCAGGAGCCAGAATTGAATTGAGGACATAATTGAGGCTCTGTGCTTCCTGGAGCTTCAGTAGCACTTGACACCTCTCTTCCTTGCTCTCTGCTTGCCTCTGTCCCTCTCAGCTGAGTTTCTAAGGATGCCGTTGGCATGTCATCAGGAACCTAGACTTTTAAAAGGGGCCCAGAGGGAGTGTCCCTCCAGACTTCATCAGCCTGCTGTGGAAATGGCTCCCATGAAAGCTTTGACGGCCTGAACCCCTAGCCTGGGTGTTCGTGTTGCTGCCCCATGTGGGGAGGGCTTCGGGACTAGGCTGTTCTGTCTGCTCTCCCTGGATCTCTCACTCCATTGTAGTGAAGACTTTGGCCAAATTATTTCCTTATGGTCAGCCATGAGGTGTCAATCCATGTTGAGAGAGGGCACTGCCCTCTGAAGATCCTCAGGCTGGGAGTACAGTGCTTCCCATGGTAGTGGAGAGGAGAGATGGAGGCTGATTTTTTTAAAAGGAAACTATAGGACAGTGTGTAAATTGCATAAGAGGGTGGCACCCCCCACCATGGCAGGCAGGGGAGCACAGTGCTTTGACTTGTTTACCTGGGAGAGGGGGTGATAGTGCTGAGCCATGCTCCCCAGGGCTCTCCTGGGGCCCATTGTCATAACAACCTGCATCTGGGTGATGGCTGCCTGGTCTGAGATAGCTGTAATGTCCAGGGTGCTCCTTGGTTACACAGTGGAGGTTCCCACAGCCTTGGCAAAGTGTCCATTGCCAAGATTGAACTTATGACCTTAACCTCATTAACATCATTAGCCACCTGAGCCAACAGTAGAGAGGTGGATTCTGGGAGCTGTCTCAATAACTATGGTGACCATCGTTTATATCCTCGGACTTGGCCCTTGTTGAGACCATCCCTGTTTCCCCATCAAAGCAATTAGGGACAGGTGGAGGCGGGGGATCCCTTATAAGCTGGGGTGGTTCTCTTCCTTAAACTAATCTAGTTCACTTTCTCTCCTTTCTGCTTCCCTTCCCACCAAAGCTCAACTCCATCTCTCATAGTTTGTGTCTGAATATTTTTAAAGCGGAAAAGTGCAATAAAATAAATAGTGACTGTTTTCTTTAGCAATAGCTCTTTCAAACCTTGCTCTCAGGACTGAAAAGTGATAGATGGTACCTGAATTATCAGATAAAGCCCTTGACTTCTGGGTGTTCGTTCACACTCTCTGTAGTTCCCTCTTCTTCCCATGTGTTCACATGTCTCCTGTCCTCTGAGAACTCACCTTCTGGAATGGACACATATGTAGAGGTGCAACGTGCACACAAAGAAGACCCATGAGAAGGCTTTCTTTGTTGCTCTGTCTCTTTGTGCATCTCTGTCCCTCTCTCCCTGGCCTCCCCCTTTCTGCCTGCTTTCATACAGCATCCCCACAACCTCTGGGTGCTGAAACTTTGCGTCTGAGTAACCTCATGCCAGCAGGGTGTAATGGAAGCATGCAGGAAAGCGCTTACCAGCGGGCAAGAATAAAGCATCCTAAGCCATTACAGAAGATCATTTCCATGCAGTAAAAGCCATTACTTGATCCTTTTGCTGCCCCTCCTCCCTTCCCCAGGGAGATGAATGCTGAGGGAATGTGGCCCTGGGAGTTTGCACCTGGGATCGGTGGCGTGGGCAGATTTGGAAATTGCCCTCTGACTCTCCTTAAAAATAAGCTGACTTGCTCAACCAAAGGGACTCTGTGAGAGCTGCAGAGGGAAGCAAATTCTTGTGGGTTTGAGTAGAGGTCTACAGGGATAGAAGTTTGGATGGTCAGGGCATGACTTTAGTGAAATAAAGACCCCACCACTCACTACAGGGTGCAGCTGCACATATATTTTGCACACATAACCAGGGGCTTCAGAAGA